GAGCTTAAGCATTTTCGTCAGTGAAGCTGAATTTGATTCCTAAGCTGAAGTGAGCTGAAGTTTTTGATTCCTAAGATGAAGCTATAAACTCCAAACACTAACTTCATTTCTGTAAAATTAAATTTTCAAGGCTTAAATTAAGCTTAAATAAGCTAATGTAAGCCTGCTCACTTGCTCGACAATAGACGAAAAGTAAAAAAATTCAAATCATTTTTTCTCGACATGAACAAATTTTTATGGATAATTTTATCAATTTGAAAAAACTGGTGCGGCCGTCGCATTTAGGCAACCAACTGTTGCCATTTGAGTTGTTTATTTGGGGCCTCTCCGCCTTCGACTTTTTGTAGAATAACTGGTTTTTTGTTGAGTTTTTTTAAGTTTTTTTGCGAATGGAAGGCTTAGCCATTCCGATGTTAGAAATTCCAGACTTAAAGTTCTCAGAAAAACTTTTTTTGATTTTTAAGTTTTACTTTTTGCTGTTGTTGGACCAAGATATTAAATAAATCGAGCTTAATAAGGCTTGTGGGTAAATAAAGTTGGGTTGCACCATAATCTAAGATATATGGAAACAATCGGCGGACGCAAAAATTAAATCAAGTTTCCCTGTCAAAAATGGATATTTTGGGTTTAACAACTGAAAAAAGTAAACGTTTGCGCATGCGGCCGTGTCGGATTTTTTGACCATTGCGTGAAAAAACTGAAATTAACGATATGTGAGTTTTCTAGAGTTTGAGATTTCTAGGTTCGAATTTTTTTAAAAGTTTTTTCCAATGCCCGATTACATTATGTTTTTATGATGTTTTTTTTTTCAGAATTTAGCAAATATTTGATTGCTGTAGTTTTTTCAGAAAAATAATTGAAGTCTGGGTCCTTATTTTAAGCGATATTGTAATATTTCAACTTAGTTTATTCGTATCTGCTGTCAAAGTGCTTCGCAGCGTTCATAATGAATCAAAATTTTGCATTTAATTTTTTTTTTGAATTCATGAATGAGCAATCAATAATCAACTTGTTTCCCCCTCTTTGTTCTAGCGGGACAATTTGGAAACGTTTTTCTTTAAATAATAACCTGACAATTCCATTAGTCTCAAATAATATTCATTAGTACATTTGATTTTCCATTATTTTTGCTCATTCTTGTTTCCTGCCTTACGATTGATTGGATTTTTCAACTTGCCTTTTGCGTTCATGTCAGTGTGAGCTCGGTTCTAATAAGAGAGACTTGTGTAATTTTTTGGGCGTGTTAATAGGCACACAGGGTAATAGGCTCGTCCCCGTTGCCATGCATAACGGCGGTACTGAACCATCAAAAACTTACAACCAATCTCAGACATAAAAACCGTCACAAGTTCCTTTTCGCTGAACGAACAGTGCATAAAAACAAAAGCAAATTTAAAAGAAATAAAAATAAATTCTGTTCAATGGCCTGGCTCTGCACCGATAACCGTCAAACAGTTATCTAACAGGTCGTTTTTGGGAGTGACAAGCTTGCTTTAGGGATCAACCAATTTGCACCAATTGCATTATCTGCAGATTTTGGGCCGGTCAATATTGATTGTAATGTTCTAAATTCATTTGCTTTCATTGAGATTTTCGCAAATCTGTTTGGTTAATATTAGTTTGCATTTTTCGGTACCTCCATCGCGTTGGGTTCCCCGGTTTTTGAATGAGCGTGAAATCTTAAAATCGTAAATAATTAAATAAATTGTTCTTGAATTTGTGCATAGAACAACAAAAATTTGTTTAATAAATTTTTTTATACCTAATCTTTCAAATAGTGTGACAGCTTCTAATATATATCTGTAAGAAACTTTGTGGTTCCAAGAATATTTGGACCAAGGTATCATCGAACCCCCCCCCCCCCCCCCCCCACGCAGTTTGGAGTGGGAAGATGTTAACTTGTTTCTACGCAGAAAGATTTTAGAAATAGTTTTAATGAGTTTACAGAAGAAGCTCCACTTTTCACTTTGCTGTCTGATTACAATATGTTGAATGAATGCCTGAATTACGTTAAAAGTTGGTATATTTCGATTAGTTTCTGCTCCTGTTGAAATTTTTGATCGTGCCTCCAAAATTGCGTATGAGCCATAGATTCATGTGCATTTTTACCAACAAATCGAGTTACCACCACAAATGAACACGAGTGATCTTACATTAAAGCTGTCTCACTTATCATTCGAAAGGCCAAAAAAGTTGAAATAAATTATTGGGCTGCGAAAAAGAAAAACCGTCTGAACAATTTGCTTTTCAGGCCAAATTAAAGCGAATGTCAGAAATCAATTAGAGTCCTACTTCATAATTTTTTGCATTATTTGCAAGTATTCAAGGAAGCTAGGTCATGTGACTTATATTTAAATTTATTAGAAAAACCTTAATTGCATGCAACCTCCCCGCGTCAAAAAAAGACGACGATACCTCACTTTACAAACCATAAGAAGATTATATGTTTGCTGTAAAAGTAGCCCAGAGTGTTCCTAACACACGAAAATTTATAACGTAAAATTTTTTTTGAAAAGTAAAAATTAAAAATTTTATAATTTTTTTCTTTTGTGTTACTGTTTTGTTCATTTTCCACTTAAACATAGCTTAAAGTTAAACATAGCTTAAACCATGAAAAAATGCATTGAAGGTTAATTGAAAATTCAATGTGAAATGGGGGGAATATGAAATTTCAAGTCTGAAATTCATTAGTCGAGAAAAAATAGACAATGTTTTATCGACAATTTTTTTTCAGAATCCAAATCACGGCTATTAGGGCTTTAAAATGATGCCACACTTGAACCCCTCCCAACTGTCTTCGAGTTAGTCAAAGTAGGAAAAAAATACAAATATTATGCCTTACTTCCTTCACACCATTTGTAAGGGAGTTGTCGAAACACCAAGAGTAGCCGATTGCTGTCCCCAGCAGGGGCAAAATTTTTGACGACCTTTTCTTAGGTCGCCGCACTGATTTTCCGAGCTCTCCTGAATCTCTAAAAAACCTGCTTTGGTAATTTTTTTGCATCGCAGGCAAAATTTTAAAATACCAGGCCAAAATAGGCGTTCTTAGGCACTTTTTGGACAGTCTTGATCAAAAATCATGTTCTTTCAGCGAGCGCCCCCCCCTCAAAAGTAGTATATGTTAAAGCTCAAAGCACTTTAGAAAATTTCTAGGATCCGCCAGCGAGAAATAGAGGACCTAAAAGGGTAGTCAGGGGGTCGAATCCCTGAGGGAACAGGGCGTCCGCCCCCTTCCCCACCCCCTAAATTCCCAACAAATTCTTTTAAAAACTATAAAAGTGTTTTTCCTGCTTTACTTAAAAAAATTAAACCAATTAGAATTGACTATTATTGTCTAAAAAAATGAACGAAAAAAAAATGAAAATTTCTTATGAATTTATTGCGCAGGGAGCGCTAAATGAAATTTCAAAAACTTGGTTTCCCGGCGTAAAGCTAATGTTTTTAAAGTTTTTTTATAGCAACACTTAATCGCTCGAATTTGGGCCAAGTGGAAATTTCAAACCAATTTTTCTCGAACGGAGGTTTATTGACATTTTTCCAACTCGCTTGAATTGTTACTGCAAGAGCGTTCATATGATATATCGCTCAGCATACTTTGATGAATTATTGTGGTGCCTGTTTGTGAGTGGGAGACAAACTATGAGAAAATTGAAACTTAAGTTACACCCGAAGTTAAAATAATGAAATTATAAAAAGAAAAACATTCAGAACAGGTCAAAAATTATTTTCAGTTTTTTTTTCTGATTAAGCTGGTTCTGATACTTGAGAATTTTGAACTTTTTTTTTATTAGAGTCTAGTGTGATGGCACAAGTGACGGCCTACGAGCTTTCTTTAAGGTTGAGACGGGAAAAAAACACCCCATGCCACACTTCTTTCCACTTTCTTTGAGGATGTCGATATAACAAGTGTAGCCTGTTGCTGCGCACTGGTTGTTTTTTCAAACTTGTGCTTTTTTTATTCGTGCTGACTCACATGTAAAGTTCCTGATTACAAGGCGCTCGCAAGTGTAAAAAAACAATTAATGCGTAGAAAGAGCTAAATGAAGCTCCAATTACTAGTTTTTCTGGAGTAAAACTAAATTTTGTATGGCCTAAATAAAAGCTTTTATTATTTTAACCTCTATTTGCTCGCTTTCCTAGCTCAAAATAGGCTAGCAAGCAAAAAGAAGCAAGATGACAAAAAACTTCTAGAAGATGTAAAATTCAGTGTTTTCTAAAATTTGTTGTTGCAAAAATGACGATGATTGGAGTATATTTGCACAACAACCGGTTGTTTTTGTTTGCACAATCGGAATATAGTGTGATCCTAATGGGTTACCTTTATTTCCGACCTAATATTCAACCCTTAGTGCTACTTTTGACGGCTTTTTCAAATGAGGAGGCTGAATTGGCTAATTGATATCATGTTTTTCAACATTTGATCACTAATAAGTTTATAGATGCATTTTTAATTTATCAACGGAATCAAAGAAAGCTGTTTGTTTCATAGAACAGTGCAATAACAAAAAACTTTTTTTCAGAAAATTTCCTGTAGTGTAATTTGCCAATTTTTGAAATGCATAATTTATACACAGTTTGGCTTAATACTTACTTTATTTTATGCAAAATTAGTGTGGTTGCCTTTGGTTTATTACATTCCAAATTATTATATGCAATATTTGTATTTTGTGCATTATAAAGCTCCCTTTTGCCGCTTTTGCTTGTCTTTGGTTTCTATAAGCGTCAGTGGCACAATTGTGTGAGCAGTTAGTTGAAATCTTGAATATCCGAGGACTGAGTTTCAATCCTCGTAGAGATCATTTATTTCTCAAATTTCATTAGCGTTTTTTTGACCTTTTTAAAGATACTTCTTGGAATTTTTGCGTTTGCGAAGTTAAGCTTCGCTTGTGTTTTAATTATGTCCATGCTTTTACTTTTTGACAGAGAGGATGCGGAGGTTTCGCCACTTTTTCTTTTTTTTTGTAATTGTTTTGAAAACCAGTTTTTTACTTCTATTTCAGCTGGATCTGATACTGGAGAGTACTCTGTCTTCTCTGGCCAGATACGACGAGTCCAATGTGCTCTCTTCCGTGTTCACTTTCACCACCAACATCAAATCTGTCAGTACAATTATAATCGAAAATTATAACAAATACAATGACAGCCAGATCTTCTGGGTTTAATTGATTTTTTATCCATGAACTCCAATGCGGGATGACTTTTTAACCACATTGAATAGTAGTATGATTATTTTAGTTTATAGGAAAAAAAATGTAGAATAAGAGCAGTTTGAAGTTAAAATGAAACGTTTGCAGGACATTTATTGACGTTGAATTCCTTTGGCATATTTTTTCAAATCTCTTTCGGGTATTCTTGTTTTTTCAATTTTATATCGAATTCTGTAGCACCTTGGCATTTTTAGATGGCTTCGACAAATATGTGATTTTGAGTCACTTTTTCTTAAGTTCTACGAACAAACCTGGCGCCAGCAAAAGTTTGATGCTGTAAAGGTAAACAGATGAAGTCTTTCTCGATAAAATGGTACCTTTGTAATATTATTGTTCCGACTTTCGATACGAAAGTAACGGAATATTTGTGCTCGGGGTGGGTTTTTTTTCTTCAGACAAATTTCGACTTCTTAACTAGCCATTTTTGACAGAATTTTTTTATATCATTCGAAGGGTATTGTTGTCCTGAGCTCAAATTTGAAAAGATAATTTACCTGTGATCATTTTTCGTAAAGTTATGGGGGTTTAATGATTGCCATTTTGGCCAATTTGGGACAATTAACTCGCGATATATTTGGCGCTATAAACGCGTAAGCGGAGAGTTAATCCGTCTTAAAATCGTTCCAAATTGGTTGAAAGAAGCTTATTTGCCAAAATTGATTTGTTACAAGGAGCGAAATCTATCCTTTTGTACTTAATATGGCGGGTGGGGTGATGATTTTCATAAAAAATTTCAAATTTTAGAAAAAAAAATTTCATTTTATTTTTATTACATTTAATTTTTTGATGTTATTACTGCTCCATAAAACCTTAAAAGGCAGTCGGAACATTCAGGGCTTCGCCCTGATACGAGCAGTCTTGTTAAATATTAAATTAGGAGGTTCTACAGAGGAGCATCAAGTGTTAATAAGGATCAGTACTGAATTATATGAGAAATTAGTTTTGCCAATTTTAGAACTGTTTTCGACCAATTTTTAAGGCTTGAGAGACTTTTGAGAAAATTTTGAGAACTGAGCCAAATTGAATATTTTCAAGTGATTGAATGTTTTTTTTTCAGAAATTCTCGCTTCCCGCTTTCTCCAAACCACAAGCTAAACCGGGACAGGATCAGGTCAGTTAGCTACTTATTTAAAGCCCCATAATTCTAATCTGTACGGGGGGACACACCTCTATCTTACGGTAACTACACTGGAAGATATCACCTGCAGTTGCGCTTTCAAGAGACTTATTTAAAGGTCCTTTACACGTACGCCATGCGCATTGGTTTTACGCAACTGGCAATACCGTGATTGTAGTATACTGTTTATATACAGAGACCAGAGACCATTGAATTTTTTGACGATTAGCATTGACATTTTTGACGACTTGAAAAGAATCTAGGTGTTCGGCGACCCCTTGGAGAGTGATTCAACCTTTGCCCCAATCCTATGTATAATATGTGCCTCACTCGTAATTTTCTGTGCTTTATTTGTTAAGTCTCAGAAGCAGCAGCCGACTGCTGGCCAGGACTTGGCCCAGCCTTACATGACATTCGTGAGGAAGAATCAGCAGAAGTTGCACGAGCTACTCATCGACGAAGACTACGTCCTAGAAATATTCATTGTAAGTTGCCCGTACCCAGTAAATTTTCTAAAACAGATCTGAAATTCTTTATTTCTTGTGTAAGCTAATTTTCAGATCTGAAATTCTTTATTTCAGATCCTAGATAAGAATTAACCAATTTCAGATCTAAAAAATGTCGAATTGACTTTTGAAATTTTGTTACGTGTCTTGTTGAGCATGAAAATAAAAAAAATAGATCATAAAAATGCCTAATAAGAGCTAGAGATTGGTCTAAAAAAAGTAGATTAACTCAAGTGGAATTGAATATCCTGAAAGCATTGCTAGAATCAGTTGAAGCAGCAATCAGTTCAACAATGCAGCAAACTCTGAACAATATTTGAACATTTCACAACCTATTTCAGATCTGAAATAGATAATTTCAGATCTGATTTAGAAAATTTACTGGATACGGGTGCTGTTTATTATCCACCAAATTTTTAGTAAGTTTTTTTCGAGTAATTTTGAAAGTAAAAAAATTTCTAAAAAATGCCATAACATCAAAAAAAAATAGTCACATAATTTCTATATTTTGAAATTATGATTAGACCTTTTATCAAATAAACTTTTTTGTTTTTAAGCCGACATCAATATTCATGCCGAAACAACAAAAAAAGTATTTTTAAAACTCAAGTACACTAATTTATCAACAAGCGCATGAAGTTCGCTTGAACAGTATATTCTCATAGACATACTTTTTGCAGTTGAATAGTAAGTATCTTCGTTCTTTTGACTTCAGCATGGGTAGCCCATATTTTAAATGAAACATAAAACTTTAATTCGATTTTTTTTTTAAATTGGGAAACAAAAGAATCTTTAAACAAGGTATTGATTAGTTTCTGTAGACTCTGGTTTGGAGAAAGTGGTTGGTACCTGTAACATGCAAAATAGCATTATTATCTATATTTTGCAGCAATTAAGAGGCGCGCAATTGTTTGTACCAATTAAGAATTGGTGACTCTACTGCATTACATGACATAGTAACCTGAGCGTAAGATCGATTAGTCATTAAGTTGAGTAAAACAGCAAGCAAAGGATAGAGCCCGAAACAGTTCAATCTTCGCAGATATAGTCCCTCCTCTGTCAGAAAATAGAAAAATAACAAAATTGGCAAACAAACCCCTCCCCCCCAAAAAAAAAATCAGAACCGAAAAAGCTATTTTTATGAAAATCATAGGTAATGGATTTCATAAAATAGGTAATGAATTTCACGCACCTTAGGTGAAAATCATTACCTAGGTTCATTACCTGAAAATCATTATCTGAAGAATTTCATAGGTTATGATTTTCACCCCCCCCCCCCCCCCCCCCAATCAGAAATAACAGTCTACTATATGGAATTCAAGTAGAAGTGATGATTTGACCCGAGCATACCAAAAACGGGACACCTCAGACCCATGGGTCGCAGGTGATAACGGTCACCGGAAGTGTAAATTGCCCTATCAGAACTCAAAAACTAGCGGCCATAATGGGCTCAAACATTGATATGTTGTAGGCCTAGTTGAGATAACAGTAAGAGCTCCACTTCTGGTTTCATGCCATAAAGTAAACAAACCCACCCATAACTCCCGGAAGTCGTATCTCGGCCCCCAATGAATGCAGGAAGTTGGAATTTTGAGGACAGATAGGTAGTGGCAAGATACATCTTCTGTTATAATTTGATTCTTTTCCAACGGTTGGATCGGAAATTATTAGCACTTGTAAAAACAACGCTTATACCGAAAAAAAAAGCCAATTTACAAAAAATAATGAGCGAGGGCTTACTAATTTTAGCGCGGCAAAAATTTCTAGTATAACCCCTCCGGCTACTCTTTAATAGTAAAACCCCTCCGGCTACTCTTTCCGGTGTTAATTATCTTTTCCCGGCAAAAGTGATAAAAAGACCTTGGAAATCTGGCAACCTTAAGTTGCCTTTTGGGCGTTTTGACCCAAAAATGCATAAAAAACCTTGTGATTAACACTGGAAACTGGCGTACTCCCCAGCTCAACCCCTGGAAACAAGAATACGTCACCTTCATAATAATTGGGAAGAAATTTATCTGCTGGGAACTGAAGCAGAAGCTGGTAGCGATATAGTTTTTTCATTGCAACCTTGGAGTAGTAGAATTAATTCAAAATGGACTTGATACATACTGGGTTCGACCAAGCTGGGTGATTGATCTAATAATAGCAAATCAACTAGACTTAAGAATAGTAGTCCCAGTGGAAATTGGTAAAAATAGGAGCGCGGTGTGGAAATTAAGTCTTCTAAAAGATATATATGCACGGGAAATCTACTAAGCTCCTCGGAGGTGACATCTTGGCCTAATTTGACTCCTAATAGACGAACTACGTTCTCCTGATAGCTAGAACGTCGGGATTGGAATAAATTACAGATGGATGTTTTAAATGCTTGGAATGAATTAGCTACCCATGAAAAGAGTCTCCCCTGCTCTCGGGAAGTCGGAAAGTTAACGAGATAATTAAAGTAAAGTCCTTAGGAGGGTCACAGTGTAACATAGCGTGGCTTGGAGGTTGTTGAACTCGAGGACATAAGTTCACTGAGGTCAAGATTTAGATGATTAGGATCGTATGATGTTACTTGCTTTGTTGAATTCTGTCACCTACCGCATTCTGGGTATCTTATAAGCGCGAGGAGGTTTATAAAAGAAAATGAACTTGGCACAAGGAAGTGTTGAAAGGGGGAGGGACGTGTTCCTGAAACATTTGCGGACAAGTGATTTAAGCGGCTGCCAGAACAAATAGGGAATGGCGTGACTTAACTAAAACTATGTGTTAATAATGATAAGGAACTGGAGGGTACCGGAGAGCCTTCGAGATTTATAACAGTTGCGCTAACTTTTAGTTTTCAAAGTTACACAGAACGGTTGAACAAGCCGAGAAGAATAGTTGGTCCGTGAAGGACGCTTTTGCTTAATGTGAGGCCAGTTGATTGAACCCGAGTTTAGCACCGGGTTGAATTATTAAGTTTAGCGAGTTGCGTTATTGGAGTTGTTGAAGAGAATAGCCGGTGTAGAAATTAAGTCTCCTAAAAGATATGAATGGATGGGAAATCTACTTAGATCCTCGGAGGTGACATCTTGGCCTAATTTGACTCCTAATAGACGGACTACGTTCTCCTGATAGCTAGAACGTCGGGATTGGAATAAATTACAGATGGATGTTTTAAATGCTTGGAATGAATTAGCTACCCAGGAAAAGAGTCTCCCCTGCTCTCGGGAAGTCGGAAAGTTAACAAGATCATTAAAGTAAAGACCTTAGGAGGGTCACTGTGTAACATAGCGTGGCTTGGAGGTTGAGTTGAACTCGAGGACAGAAGTTCACTGAGGTCAAGATTTAGATGATTAGGATCGTATGATGTTACTTGCTTTGTTGAATTCTGTCACCTACCGCATTCTGGGTATCTTATAAGCGCGAGGAGGTTTATAAAAGAAAATGAACTTGGCACAAGGAAGTGTTGAAAGGGGGAGGGACGTGTTCCTGAAACATTTGCGGACAAGTGATTTAAGCGGCTGCCAGAACTAATAGGGAATGGCGTGACTTAACTAAAACTATGTGTTAATAATGATAAGGAACTGGAGGGTACCGGAGAGAGCCTTCGAGATTTATAACAGTTGCGCTAACGTTTGGTTTTCAAAGTTACACAGAACGGTTGAACAAGCCGAGAAGAATAGTTGGTCCGTGAAGGACGCTTTTGCTTAAAGTGAGGCCAGTTGATTGAACCCGAGTTTAGCACCGGGTTGAATTAATAAGTTTAGCGAGTTGCGTTATTGGAGTTGTTGAAGAGAATAGCCGGAAAGAGCGTAAACCAAGGGGGAAATGCCTAATCCTTTGATCGGCTGATTAAGACTGACCATCAACATAACCCCTTCGGGATTGTGGATAATGTGGTGTCTTAATGCCCCCCGCCATTATACGGTATAAAGGGTAGAAACTCTGCGGCCGTTATTTAGAGTAAAAGCGTGATTAAAGGAGACTTCTCCCCGAGATTTCTACGCCATCAAATATTTAAAAGATGGGTTTAACATCGTCTATTGAGCATCTTGATTTTTCAATCGTACATCGCTTGAATGTTTAAATGCAAATACATAAAGTATAATTCTGACAGCGATTGGAGTGATTCCGAATGACCAGATCAAACTTTTAATGTTCTACACAGGCGAAGCGGAATGTTGCACCCCTTGCAATACAACAAACATAAAAAAAAACATTAAAAGTTTAAAAAACGGTCTGCTTAAAATTCATTTTTTCGTATGTCTCGATAACTTCATTTTGGGCAAACATGCCAGACATTTGAATACTAAATTAACAACTGAAAACAAAACATTTTAAGAGGAAATAAAGCCGGCAATCTTTAAGCAGAAAAAAGGGGAGCCGAAAATTCATATGATTTTATAAAAAGAATCTTTCAAGATTAAAGTTCCACCTGAAACTAGATTGAATATCGCGTGATGTTGCGATATTAAGTATGAAGAGCAAATGCAAATGTGGGTACTACTGGTGCATATTCATAGGTTCCAAAATGAAAAATCATCCAATAAGTTCCAAAATAAAAAAGCTGTCGCATAAGTCCCAAATCTTTTCACTTGGTCAAAAGACTAAATTAGCCGAGTCTCGGTTTAAGGTCACCGGTGGGCTCGCTGCGCACGCGTCGCGGCGATAACCGGCTCTAAATTTCGTAGAGTCCTACCTATTGGTGGCAAACTCGCAACACGTTGGCGCGGCTGCGGCGGTCACTATTCTGCAGCTTGAGTTTATGCTACTTGAACAGTATACAATCAATCCAGAAATTCGTTGGCTCAAATTTCAACCAATCAGAATTCAAGAAGATCAATTTCGGAACTTATGCGACTGATTTTTTATTTTGGGAGCTATGAATATTGGAACCTATGAGAATTCACCGTACTACTATGATAGAGTGGTCCCTTGAAAATAAGACACCTAGAGCTCTCAAATCATTTAATAATTATGATTACGCCTTTCAGAATGATGTCGCAGTATATTTTCAAAGAAATTTCAAGTTTTGTTTCCTCTTAAATCCTCTCCCTCACCATTTTAAGGTTGAAAATTAAAAAAAAAAACGCCAATAGTGGGTTTTGCTGACAAATAAGTCAACCCAATTATATGGTCGTTAAACCGTAAAATAAAGTAAAGTGAGCAAATTTCAATATATAAACAAAAGTGATTAAAATTTTCAATCTGAAAAGTTTTTGGCTGAACATATTTTGCAAGATTTTTGAAATGAATAAGTTATAAACCAACTATTATAACATGCGAAATGCATGCGGGACCTGTCTATCATAGTTGCTTTTTCGAGGGACCACTCTATCATAGTAGTACCCAACGCAAATGTGTTCACAATAATTCAGTTGTTTATCATGCAAATCTTCATTGCATTATGACAACGTAGTTTTTCAAAACTGAAATGCAAATGTACGGGGGGAAAGTGGAATAAAAATGAGCCCATTCCAATTAAATGTAATTTAATTTTCTGTTGTCCAAGTAATTTTGACCTGCCCTGCTAGATACCAAAGGGTGGAAATAGTTAAAGATATCCGATTTTGTTTCAGTTGTGGTACAAGAAGCTGATGAAAATGGTCAGCTCTTGGCTGTGTGAAAGAGCGTCCCAGCAGTTGCATATATTCCAACTCATTACACTGTCTACTATTCTCAAAGTAAGCCACTGCTTAATAACATAACACTACTGCTAATGTAACGAGTTTAAATATGTGCACTCTTAGTTTGAAACAAGGCAGAATGGCCGAGCGGTCTAAGGCGCCAGACTCAAGAAATTACTCATACTGAGAATTCTGGTACACGAATGTGTGCGTGGGTTCGAATCCCACTTCTGTCAGATATTTTTGCTTTCACTAGTAGAACTCAAATCATTGTAACATTCATTTTCACTCAGGCTAGTAAGCGTCCTTTTTGAAATCTCAGAAATTTCGCATATTGAAGCAATTTGAGCAAAACAAAGAGTAAATGTGAGAAAGATGTGAAATAAATTTTGAGAAGTAATAATAATAATCAAAAACGATTTCAAATTTGATCGACATTAAAATTATGAACAAAGTTTCTTGTGTCAAAAAAACCGGTCTGGTTTTTTGTAGAGCAGTTTAGAGAACTCACGCCTCATATTAATTCATTGCTGGTTGAAGATGCTCTGGTTTGATGAGTATAAGTTAATGAAGCCATTGGTAATTTGTGCTAAGATAGCTTTCCCTAAGATCTTTCGCTCAGCCAAACGTACAAAAAAAACGAATTTGTTTTATCTTGTGGTTTTTTGGTACAAGTGCAAGTGGTGGCTCTTTTGCCGTTTCCCACCCCCTCGTAAAATTACAAAATTAAGCTGTTCAAAAAATTTTTGCATGTAATAATGTAAAAAACCGTTCACCTGTTCACGTAATTAACCTGCCTCATTTGCGCCAACTTATTCGATACTTTATTTGTCATCATCAAAGCACCAAATTGAACGATTTTGAGGCGCTCTTTTTACATTAGGGACCCCTCTATCTTACTTGTTCAGTTATTTTTTTGTTTGCAGTTAGTTTTTATTTTTTGTTTAATGGTTCATTTTCTTTTTTGGTTTGTTTTTTTTTAATGCAAAGAAGAAAACTGGCTGAAGCCGTCTGTGCTACTCGCCCAGCAGTCGGAGCTACTCTTGGTAACTTTTTTGTGGGTCGTTGTTTAGAAAACGTACAAGTCGTTCCTGCTGGAAGGAGTGATGGAGAGTGAATTGGAGAGTGGGGACTACGAGGCTGCCAAGAAGAGACTGACGTGTGAGGAGACCACTGCTCTCATGAGTGAAAATGCCTCCTTCATCACAGAGCGCATGAACGACTCAGACGGAGGGGGAGGGGCTGACGACTACGACGAAGACGACGACGACTACTAACTCAGCATACGATCTCATTCTTCTTACTTTTCCGCTGCATTTGTTGAAATTTGATTGCCAGTCGAAATTGGATTACAAGTTGAATTGCAGCAAATAATTTATTTGACAGAATAAAAGCCTATTGAGACTCGTTAAGTTTATTTACTTGGATTTTATGGAAAAAAGCCAGCCATAAGTGATGGTCTAAAAGGGTCAACAATTTGAACCGAAGTCCAAATTTTTCGTTTCATCTCTTGTTAACTTTGCTTTGCATTTTCATCGCAGTATTATTGTGTTGCTTCATTGTAAAATTGTTGCTTCCGAGATTGTCCTTCCTTTAAAATTCCCAAATACGTTGCTGCCTGTATCATAATTAGTCTCAGTAATAAACCCCATTCACTACCTACCAAATTCGCTGCTTAAAATGTCGTCACTTCAGTGCTCTAAAGTTTGCTCCAGATTCAGAGTTATTCATTGTTAATATTTATTAGTAGATTAATATTGAATGCAGAATTTAAGAGAAATTTACAACATTTTGCAACAAATTCAATCATCTTTTCATCCCGTGGGTGCAGTATTGTATGATGGAATCTATGAATATCCGCGTTTTGGGAATTCATTTTAGTACCTAAAATTCCGTTTTATTCTCGCTGAAAATAGATATAAGAATAATGACGCAGGCATTAAAAATATCGATTCCGTTCATGTAAATATGTCCATGCATTGGTTTAATTTTCCATGCATTTTTTTTCAGCTTTTCTTATTTTCTTAAGTTTAATTATCGAATCTGAAAAAATTGAATCAAAATTACAGTCAAGTTCATTAGTATTTGCATGCCAAAACTTTTGAGAACTGAGAACAGCTTGCGTCCTGCGTCTAATCGAGGGAAAATATAACAAAAAAAACTCATTTTTTTCAATAGTTTTAAGACAGTGTAATATGTACAACTAATTTTATGAAAATCGAATCTAACATTAATTGGCAGATTAAAATTTCAATTCGAGTTTTTGATTTCTAGAGATTGATTAACAAATTTTTGAAAATCAACGAAATTTACGTCAAATACAATGACAGAACAAAATATCCCATACAAAAGTACGCCATTCTAAAATATTTCATACCAGTATATCCCAATGGACACAATAACCCAAACCATTATAGCCCACACAATATCCCATGCCATACCATCATAGCCCTTAGCCCTCGTAGAATTTATCTGCGCCAAAACTAGAAGCTCATTATGCATTTTTCTAAAAATAAGCAGCGGCATTACTAATCAAACCGTAAAAAGTACCGAGAACTAAACGAAAAAGTCCGATTGATCACTAAATTTCATAAAAATTCAGATATAGTAAATTAATTTCAAACACTGGCTCATTTCACACTCTTAATTGTTCCAATTTGTTAAATTATTGTTAAAATTTTGCCAAATTTTTGTTACTTTGATGCGTGTTTAGATTGTTTTCCAAAAGTCATACTGTTTTTGGACTGATAGCTACAAAAGAGGTACCTTTTTTGTTAGGTGATAGGGGCATATAAAGTAATAATTTCGCTTTTCTACTCACTCTTCCATAACGGTCAACCAGTACAAAGGTTTTTTGGGGGTTTAAAAATTTCGAACTAAAATTTTTGATCCACGTTGAGTTGATAACTTGATCTTTTGAAGAGTCGTACTGTTTAACCATGATGCCAAGCGAGCATATAAAGTCACATCTTTTGTTCTTATTGTTCGAAATAACGGTGGATTTAAAATGCGCGCCATAATTTTTCCGCTTTGAATTAAAATTGCTGTCACGAGTTGTAGAACTTAGCAATATTTTGCTCTGTTTGCTCAAATGCTATCTTTTGGTTTGAAGTCATTAGATAAAAAGCCTTTTGCGATATTTCTATTCCTTCGGATCCACAGATGGGATATTTTAATTAGCGTGAGCTACTTCGTCTTAAGCTATTCGTTTTGCCGGCTTATTTTTGTGTGGGATACTTTCTCTTGGGATAAAAATGCAGAGATAAATTGTCATAAGGCCGTCAAATAAGCCGGATCATTTTTAATCTAAAAGTTTAAGAATATTAATAATCTAAAAAAATTAAGAAAGCTGCATTCAAGGATACATCATCTTGAACAATTTACTCCTATGGTACTTTGGAAAAAATGTTCCACCGCTATAAATCACTAATTCAACGACAAAATAGGTGAGACTTAACTAGTTCTGAATCTCAATCTTTTAAAAAATCCTGAAGATACATAATTGCGCTTGGGATGACAAGCAGTTTTAAATCTGGACACACTTGTTTCCAATCTGACAAATTTTTGTCTATTAAATACAGTGAAATTTTTGCTAGCTTGTTTTTATATCTAAGTCAAATCCAATCATTGTTTCTGCTCGTTTTCGCTACAGATAATGCTCAATGCCTGGGATGTAGATAATGCTCAACGGCCAAGCGTAAGTGCCTGTGTGGGACTTGTAGTGTCTTTGCTCTTTGGATATTTTTTGCCCATTTTTAGACAATCGCGGGTCTGGTTGCTTTGGTTTGTTAAGTTTCCACAGCACGCATTTTTCAAAAAAGCTAATTTTTTCTTTTGAATTCAGTTTTCTTATTTCAGATAAATGAACTCAAAGATTTTGTATAGTTTCAGTTTTTTTGCAATAAAAGTTTCTTAGGCTTATTTAGGTTTGTCTTACATTTGAGTGGTGAAAAATATTGTTGTTCCGACTTTCGAAGAAAACGTAATATTTATGCTCGATGTGGTTTCTTTATTCAGTCAATTTTCACCAATCGAAATAATAGTTTTCAACAAAAATTTTTTATACCCCATTGAAGATATTGACTCCCTGTCTTCAAATGTAAAAAGATACTTCACCTCCGATTTTTTTTTTGTGAAGTTCTGGGGGTTTGAAAATTGCCAAATTTTCCATGTTCTGGACTAAATTATGTTGCGTTTTGAAAAGTTTCTTCGTAATGCTGAGAGCGTAACGCGAATTATTTTTGCGTGGCGAATTATGCAGAACAAAATCGTTCCAAATTGAATTGAGGCTATAGCTAATTGCTCGTATTAATTTTGTATATTGATATTGTCGAAAGTGTATAGGTTTCCAATATTTTCTTTTCCCAAAGACTATTCGAAATAAATTAAGGGACAGTCGGAGCATTCAGGGTTTTGCCCTGATATACGAGCAGTCTTGTTTTTTGTTAGTTTAATTTCTAACACTACGAAGTTTTGAACTGTTCTCTATAGTTCAAAAATTTCCGACATTTTTCCCAGCTCATTGAGCCTATATAGAACTTTCGACGGCTCGGTATGTTTTCCGTGAATACTGAGTTGACGCTGGCAATTGTTAACGCTAATACTTAACGGCAATTGTTAACGCTAGTTTTTAACGCTTGTAGTTAGTTTTCGAGTGGTGTTGTTTTCGACCATTTTTTCCATTTTTTCTTTTAACTTTTGACTAGCTGCTATGCTATGTTTGTGTTGAGTAGTTAGGGATGTGAGCAAAGCGGGTGTAACATTTTTTGCTTCCATTGTGATTACGAAATAAAATTGATCTGGTTGTTCTGAGATAATATTGGAAAATTGGAAAACTTGTTCAACCGAATCATCGAGTACCCAGATACATTCAGGTTCTTTAGCTAAAATTTGGGCTTTGGGCTCACTCAGCCCATATTTGAAGAATTGGACCCATTCATTTCCATACTGAGAATTTGGGGACCAAGAATTGGGCCCACTTTGCTATAAACTGGGCTTATTCAGCTCGTTTTAAAAAAAAAATAAGGCTGATTCAGCACCATCTATCTATAGAAATAAAGACCAGAATGGGACTAGTTTTGAATCGGGATGTAAGCAAATAAGTCCAGGCCATTAAAACTAACACTTACTGAGTACAAAATTAGTAGATTGCAGATAAACAAATTTTCAAGAATTATCAGATGAAACGTATTGAAAAACCCAATTTTTTACAGATACCGATGTAAGAAAATTGGAAACACAAATTTCTAGTTTTTTGTATCTGCGCGGTCTGAGCAGGTTATATTTCATTTTCTGCTAATTTTAACTTCCTTTCAACGCAAGAACCATTCAGCGAATCGGACCTTCTACGGATTACGTTTGGTTGAAAGTTTTCCTATATGCGGTCTCTCTATACTGAGAATAACCTCTAAGTTTTATTCTATGCTGAAAAACTTTAGTAGATTTTTGAGTAGACTGAATGAGTGTCGACTTCAATTTGTTTGCTCATTGTCTTAATTATATCAGATTGTTTTCATTTGCTGTGGTCGTATTTATGATTCAATGAACTACGAGAAGTCTTTTGTTCAAAAATCAGTATTTATTTTTCAGAGCTTCCTTAATAAATTCACATTTTTGGGTTGAAAAAAAATCTTGTCAAAATTTCATTTTAATTGCTTCACTTAGTGCCATCTCTTTCCTAGGTTTTCAACTCTACTTTCGAAAAGCATAGTATGAGTTTTATTGAAAAGTATATTTTTTGAAAAGTATAGTATGAAAATTGTAGCAAATTGCGAAATTCAAACCTAATATCGCCATACTTGACAAATTTTTCTTCGGGTAAAGAGTTTATTGCGACTTCATTTTCACTTTTTTATTTTCGCTCCGCAGATTCTTACTTCTAACAAAAGCAGTTTCAATACAAACATCAAGGCTTTCTACTAATCATTTTTTGCCCTGCCAAAGAGTTTTTTTCTGCAAAACAAACCTGATCTATACAATTAAGAAATATTCGCGAGAACCATTCACAAATATCAAAAATTTGTTTGTCTGGCACAATGTTCAATTTACTAAAAACACGTCAGAAAACAGAATAACTAGCGTTCAAAAGGTAATCCGACAAAAACTTTGAGCGGCAACTAAGCCAACAAAAGTTAGTTAGACTATCTTTGAGCAAAATTGTTTTAAATTGAAACACTTTTGATAAAAATGTCTGTAGATCTGAAAACTTTTTTGAAAAGAAAAAATATCACAAAATGCATTTTTATTAAATTTTTTTCAACCGAAAAATTTTTGAAGAACAAAAAATATTGTGGAAAAACAAAATTGTACACTCCCCCCACTCCGAAAACACAAAAACATTGAAATTTTTTGTTAACAACCACGCTAAATTAAGTCACTTACTCAATAAAATATAGTGAGTTATATGTGAGGTGTATAACTCATGGGGTAATTTCGGAGAGGGTACACCGTCTGCTCGTCACGCTATCTTATTTTCGGCCGGATAGATTCGTGCAACTTCTTAGTCTAATACCGATCCTAATCTTACTCTTATATCTACTAGTCTCAGGGTGTTTAACTAGTCTCTGCTAGGCTCAATAGATCTAGAGTATACTGGTTTTATTGCGGCTGCGGAAGTTCTCATGGAGAGGTAACTAATTTCTAAGTTAAATTCAAATCTCTCTGGTGCTGAAATTACAAGTAATTTCAGCACTTACAAATAAGTGGGTTGTTAGTTAGATGGATTATGATTTGTTAATATTAAATATTTTATAGTGATAAAATATCTAATTTATACCCAATAATAAAATGTAGTTTAGATCAGGTTCCACCCATCCGGGGTTTACAGAGTTTTTTTAGTTTTATCTTTCTTTCTGTAATTGAAGGATGGATGATGA